GCTGAAGCGCTGGCCTCATTTTCGGGCTACCGCTCGTTCCGACTCGTGCTCCCGCTGCAGCGCTGGCCTCATTTCCGCGCTTCTTCTCTTTCCGAATCGTGCTCCCGCTGCAGCGTTGGCCGAACAAAAACATCGGAAGTGATTACACCTTCGTTGTCGATGTTTTGATTTCTGGTGCCGCAGAAGCCCCCCCCCACTTTGGGGCGTCGCCACGCCATGCTATGTCAGGCTACGCGTCCTCCGAATCGTGCTCTCGCTGCAGCGCTGGCCTCATTTCTGAGCTTCCGCTCGTTCCTCATCGCGCTCCCGCTGCAGCGCTGGCGTCATTATTTCCAGCGCCCTGCCACGGCATGGTTTTCGGTCTTGGAAGGGGGCAAGTGCCTACCAGGCGGCACTTGGCATTCGAAAGCGCCCACATCGGGCAGGCACGGTTGCGCAGGACATTGAGCTGGGATTCCGGACAGGCCTTCTCCTTCCGTACACACGCCATTTACTTTCCAAGGCATCCGTTGCCATGCCATGGTATGCAGTGCGATGCTGCGCTGCACTCCGCTGCGCGATGCCATGCTTTGCGATGTTACGCTTTGTGATGCACGCGACACTACACAATGCCAAGCCATACCATGACATTCTCTGCTCTGCCGCGCTCTTCTACACCATGCTATGCCGTGTTTTATCATGCATCGCAAACCCTCTCGGGACCATTGCTTTGCTTGACATCAGCTTGTGCGCATAAAGAGGAGATCTGCGCCATTGTAAGGGTTGGGAAGGAGGGGCATGACGACAGGTATGACGCGAGCGCACCTAGCTTGCCTCCTTCCCCCCTCCCCCCTCCTTGCCCCTCCACAATGATTCAATATTAATACTATTCTCCTCTCTCCCCTGATGACGTCCAGAATATTCGCTCCCCCTCCGCGTACTGTCTTTTTGCACTGGATTCCCGGGAACTGGGTTTCCGCTGTTTTTTTTCAAAAACGGCCGCTCCCGCTAAGGCGCTGGCCTCATTTTCGGGCTTCCGCTCGTTCCGCATCGTGCTCCCGCTGCAGCGTTGGCCTCATTTCCGCGCTTCCGTTCGGTCCGAATCGTGCTCCCTCTGCAGCGTTGGCGTCATTATTTCCAGTGCCATGCCGCGGCATGGTTTTCGGTCCTTCCAAATTGGCCCCAAAATCTAGGAAATGACCCACCGAAGCCCCGTCGGAAATTATTCACATTCGGTTTCGATTCGTTGATTGTTTGGGGCGTCACCACGCCATGCTGTGTCATGCTACGCTTTGATCGTCAACACCATGCTGTGCAATGTATTCCTCTATGCCATGCTGCGACATCCGACTGAGTGAATCGAGAGGAGGTCTACGCCATGGTAAGGGGTGGGAGGAACGGGTGGACGTCAGATATGACGCGAGCGCGCCTAGCTTGCCTCCCCTCCCTTCGCCCCCCCTCCCCTCCCCCCCTCCCCCCCCCCTCCCCACCCTCCCCCCCCCCCCTCCCCCCCCCCCCCTCCCCCCCTCCCCCCTCCTCCCCCCTCCCTCCCCCCCTCCCCCCCTCCCCCCCTCCTTCCCTCATGGCCGCCGCGGCGGGCGGCCCGCCGCGAGAGCGCTCGCGGAGCCCCGGGGGCTTGCGGGCGCAGGCCGCGGCGCACATCGCCGCGGCGCAGGCTTGCCTGCCGAGGAGGAGGGAGGAGGGAGATGGGAGGAGGAGGAGGCAGGAGGCAGGAGGCAGGAGGAGGAGGAGGAGGAGGAGGAGGAGGAGGAGGAGGAGGAGGAGGAGGAGGAGGAGGAGGAGGAGGAGGAGGAGGAGGAGGGAGGAGGAAGGAGAGGAGGGAGGAGGGAGTGAGGAGGGAGGGAGGAGGGAGGAGGAGGAGGGAGGAGGGAGGAGGGAGGAGGGAGGAGGGAGGAGGAGGAGGAGGAGGAGGAGGAGGAGGAGGAGGAGGAGGAGGAGGAGGAGGAGGAGGAGGAGGAGGGAGGGGTGAGGAGGAGGAGGAGGAGGAGGAAGAAGAGGAGGAGGAGGAGGAGGGAGCGGGGGGGGTGGGGGGGGTGGGATGAAGAGGGGATGAAGTTCGAGGTTCGAGACAACTGATTGGCTTCGGCGCGCAGAGGGGAAAGCTGTAACAAAACCGCCCCGGCACCGCTCAGACACCAGTGCAACACAGGCGTGGAAGCCCACGGCCCATCCTCGGCGGGCTCCGACGACGGATATCAACACATTTGAAGACGCTACAACAAACAATGCGTCTTTTACCGCTGTTAGTTCTCTTGCCGAGACCAGAAAACGGTAAATTTTAGGGATTCACAAACCCTTCAGACTACGGGTCTGCTGTCAGACCTATTTGGTCAAGTGCCGAAGGCCCAATCGAATACGAGAAACCCTCTCCCCTGGGCGGCGGCGGAAGAGCGCGAAGTTCGGCGCCCTCGTTCGAGGTTCGGGTCTCGAGTTTGTTTTTCGGACCCGTTGTAGCCACGCGCAGAGGAGAGGGGGGGCTTCTTCGCAGGAGGCTGCTTCTTAGAAGGCGCGGGCCTCCTGAGAACCTTCTAAGAATCAAGGTCTTCTTCCTGTAGACGCAAGGCCAGTGTCTTCTAAGAAGCAGCCTCCTATAGGCGCAAGGCCAGCGCCTGCTGAGAAGCAGCCTCCGTCTGAGCACCTTCTGAGAAGCAGCCTCCTTCTGAGAGAAGGCTCCCCCCCTCCCCTACCCTTAAGTCGGAATAATAATAGTAGTAATAAGAGTCTGTGGGCGATCTTTTGACTATTCATGAGCATGCTTAAAAATATGTTGACAATTGTTTGGTTTTCGTCCAAAGTCCCCCTGAAGGGGGACAGGCCCGACCTAACCCTACCCCCCTCTGCGCGCCGCCAACTGTTCGACGCTTCTCGGGCGGCTTTCAAGCCTGGGGCGCTCTCCATCAACTGCTCCTCGCCGAGAGCGTTCCGGGGGTGCCCGGGCCGTCCCGAGCGGCCGCCGGAGAGGCGCCTGGACCGTCAAATACCGACTCGGGATGAGAAAGTTGCCCGGGGTGAAGTCGGAGGGACGCCCACCTGGCCAGGTCCATTCTGGGCCCTGGACTGGTGTGTATAGAGCTCCTAGGCCTGGGCCACGAGGGCCTGTGCACCAGTCCAGGGCCCAGGATGGGCCTGGCCAGGGCTGGTGGTGGTGTAGTGCTGGGCCCAGGGAACGGCAGGGCCTTTTGCTTACCATTTCCGAACAAGTGTCTCTTGAAAACGGAAACGGCACAAAAAAACGGCGACTGGCAACCGACAAAAAAAATGCTCCGGGATTGGAACCGGAGCCGGAACTGGCAAAAAACGGCGACGGAACCGGCAACAGAAACGGCGTCGGGACCGCCAAAAAGAGCAGCACGAAGGAGCTGGCAACAAAAACGGCCCTGTCGTTTCCAGTCGGCGTCAACCCAACATGCGTCGCCTCGCCGGGGGCGATGCGCGCACCGAGAAATCTTGTAGTATATGCGTCGTGGCAGGCGCTTTCTGGCCACACCGCTCGGGAAACGATCTACGACAAGATGGGTATACTACATGTTTGGGTCGGACGCGCGCCTCCAAGGAGGACACATAGTATTAGTATGTCTCTGTGCGTCCCATTTCCATGGCCCGAAGCCCTCCTGTGAAGGGGGTCCAGGGCTCCATGCGGTGGCCGGAAGCGAGGGGGTCGTCCGCAGTCCCAGGGGAGGGGGGTCCAGACCTCCGAGGTCGTGGAGGAGGAGCTGCTCGATGCGCACAGCGGAGGCCCCTGCCAAGAGACACCCTGGTGGCCTCGAGGGTGCCCTGGGTTTCTTGAGTGTCGATGGTTCTGCCGCAGAAATCGCGACGCTCCCGCACCAAACGTCAGTGGGCGTCCTGGGGTCTCTGGGTCGGGTTTCTCGTGGAAGGTTTCTCGTGGTCGAGCTCCTACTGTGCACCGAGTCGGCGTGCGCACACGGCGACATGCAAGCACCACGGCGGGGGTCCTTCCACCAAAGGGCCCCAGCCGTACTTCCCAGCTGGTTGTGCCGCACGTGGTGTGGCGACGCACCTCGCCATGTGAGTACCCTCCCCTCCCCTCCCTCCCTCCCTCCCCCGCGGCCGTTTTCGCCCACCTTCCCCGCTCCCTGCCGCGGGTGAAGTGGCGCCTTCCGTTGCCCCGACCGCCCGAGCGCGCGTGCGGACTGCCTCTGCCGCCCTGCGACGTAACACGTGTCACATGCAGTCGGGGTTCTGAAGAAGGAACCCTTTTCGTTGGGGAGGGGCTCCGCGTTCCTTAAGTGTTTCACAGCTTCGACAGGAAATCGAAGGTTAACTTATGGAAAAAGGGGGCCTCGTTCCTTATTTTGGGTTCCTTAGGTCAAGGCCCCGACTGTGTGGGAGCAGGGTGGCGGGCCAGCACGAAGAGACTGCTGCGTGCGCAGAGGCGACGGAGCACGGAAGGATACCTTTCGAACGGCGCCAGCCGTGCTGCTGCTCCTGTTGGCGTGCGCTCGTCGACCGCCCCCCCCTGGGGCCGCCCAGAAACGCCAGCGGCCACTCCCGGGGCCGCCCAAACGCCTGGCCTGGGCGACTCGGAAAAACGCCCCGCCAGAACTTCACCACCCACCAAACCACCCCAACCCAACCCGAAGGCTCAGATTTACCCTCGATTTCCAGTGGGGGAGGGGTCGGGAGACATCGAAAAAACACATGTGGAACCCTTACCCCCCCAACCCGAAATTCGGGTCTTCGGGTTGGGTTGGGGTGGTCTGGTAGGTAGTCCGAAATTGTGCCGAAAACCCCCGCGAGGGGGCGCGGCGTTCGGCATGTCGTCTGGTACCCCGGGGGTACCTTGAGCTCCGACGTTGCAAAAACAATGCGACATCGCAGAAAATCATGGCCGGAGCCCCGGGCCCCACCTTCCTGCGACATTGTGCGGGCCAGATCGATCTGTGAGGGTCCCGGGGCCCGAAATTGAGTGGTAACGCCCGCTGTGGAAAAATTGCAACGCCATGATCTCAGGGCAGGCAGGCGGGGTTGCGGGGCAGGCCGCCGCCCTGGGAGCCCCAGCGCCCGCCGAGCACCTGGAGACGGCCCTGGCGGGGCTGCAGGCGGGCCCGCAGGACGCGACCCAGCTGCTGGCGCTGCTGCAGGCGGCGCCGCCGCAGCCTCCGGCCGGCGGCGGGGACGCCGCGCTGCTGCAGTACCTGGCGGCGCTGCAGCAGCCCCAGGGCGGCGGCGGGGACGCCGCGCTGCTGCAGCAGCTGGCGGCGCTGCAGCAGCCCCAGGGCGGCGGCGGGGACGCCGCGCTGCTGCAGCAGCTGGCGGCGCTGCAGCAGCCTCTGGGCGGCGGCGGGGCGCTGCAGCACCCAGGGCTGCAGGGCCTGGGGGCCGCCGCGCAGCTGGACCCGCTGCAGCAGCTGCTCGCCTCGCAGCAGGCATGGGCCCAGACCTCCGCCGATGTGCGCTCTCTCCCCAGACATCGGGCGTCTCGAAAAAATATCGAGGCGGAGGTGATTCATAGTTATTGGCTTCGGAGGACCTTCACCAGGGCCTCGGGACTGTCAAAAGACGACCCGGGATGAAAAGCTGGTCCCGGGGAAGTGGTCGGGAGGTCGGGGCCCCTGACTCGTACAAAATCAAGACGCGTGATGTTTGGGTCCAGGGCGGAGCGCTCTCTCCCGATGTCGGCCTCCGGAGCCCCTTCCCAGGCCCGCGGGGACCATCCCAGCCGGATCCAGAACGGAAAAGCGACCCCCGGGGAAGAGGTCGGGACTCTCGGGGCCGCGCGTGGCAAAAGTCACATCTTCTCGTGTCTGGGGACGCAGTGTGCGTCGGCCACCTTGAGGGGCCAGGAGGCTTGGGAACAGCCAGAGCAGATCGTCCAGACGCGGGAAAAAGCAGCCCGTGAGGCAGGTAATCTGCCAGTCTCGTCTGTGTCTCTGGCCTCGAGAGAGAGGTCTGTGTTGGCTGGTTCCAGGGCCCCCTGCCCATCAGATCGGGCCGCCCGGCCACGGAGGTGGACCCCATGGTGCAGCAGCTGCTGGCCTCGCAGCAGCAGCTGGATCCCGCGGTCCTGCAGCTGTTGGCCTCGCAGCAGCAGGGCCCGCCGCTGCTGGGGCAGCAGCCCGAGGCCGCTGCGCAGGCCAGCGACCACCAGAGAGCGCTTCAGCAGATCGCTCTTCAGCAGCAGATGCTGAAGCAGGCGGAGGACGAGGCGAAGGTAGCGGCGGCGAAGGCGGGCGGCTACGTCGGCATCCTGGCGCGCTTTGACGACATCAAGGGGTACGGGTTCATCGAGTGCTCGGAGTCTCGGCAGCAGTATGGCCGGGACATTTTCTGCCTAAAGAGCAAGAAGAATGATGCGGAGGTCGGCGACATGGTGACTTTCAATGTTGAAATGGGTGACCAAGGGAAGCCGCAGGCGGCAAACATCATCAAGCTTGGCGAGCTCTCGCAGCACAAGAAGATGATACTAACGTGGCAACAGATGTATACTGGAGCGATCGTCGACGCCTCCGACGGGGTCCCCGTGATGGGCAACATCAGGGAATTCACCGGCGTGGTGGGCAAGTACGATGAAGAGAAGGGGTACGGTTTCATTGAGTGCGCGGAGTCGTATGCACTGTACCAGCGAAATGTCTTCATCCACAAGGACCATTGGGTCCCCGGAGCCAGAGTAGGTGACGTTGTGGGCTTCCACGTCGAGCTTAACAACAAGGGCTGGCCGCAGGCTCGCAATATCAACAAGAAGGAGGCGCCGCCAACAGTCGTGCTGCCACCCGTCCGCTCAGCGCTGCCTTCCGTCGTCACCGCTCCGGCCCAGGCCGTTGGTAGACTGGGTGCCCCCTGCGGTGGGAGAAGCTCGTCAAGACCACCAGCCCGTCCCGTTGCCACTTTCCTGCTCCACCCTTCTTCCTTACAAGTACATTCATTCTCCCTGTCGCATTCCGAGACGGGTCGGTAGGGCGGGCCGGGCGTTTCGCCTGAGAATTTCTCACCACTTCTATTTGCTATAGTTTCACGGGTGACGACGGCCTGTCGTTTTCAAAATGAGGATCTCGTTGCAAGAGTTTCACGGATGGAGGGCGGCTCTTTTTAAACATGTTGGCTCTCGCCTGAGCGCCGCCCACATTCGGTTCAAAAGTTTGCAAGCGTTTCACGGATGGAGGGCGGCTCCTTCTCAAAATGTGGTTCTCGCCGTAGCGCCGCGCACACGCGTCTTGACAGTTCACAGCAATTTCAAGGTTCTCACGGTTGACGTGCCAAGAATTATATTTCACATTGCCAGGGCGCGACAGCCACGTCGATTCACGGTGTTGACGTCCCAGAAATAGTCTTCCGGCACGATTTAGCACCGCTAGGTCGCAACAGTAACGTTGATCCGCGGCGTTGGCGTCCCAGGAATGGTGCTTTGACACGTATGAGCATGTTCAAACGGTTGTCTTCCAACGGGGCCCTTCCTGCAGTGAAGGTCGACCTTTATAGGGGCCTGCGAACAAGAAACTCGGAGGGAAGGTTTTTGCAACCCTCATTGATGAGTCTTGGATTTGCACTGGTCCTGCTCCTCCTCCTCCTCCTCCTCCTCCTCCTCCTCCTTCTCCTCCCCAAGTGGGATCAGGAGAGGCCAGGCGCACCGCAGGAGAGGCGCACCCAGGAGAGGGGTCCGCAAGCCCCGCCTCGGGACACGCCGGGGCGAGGTCCTGGCCCGTGCCGCGGCTGAAACCGTGGCCTCCGCGGCTCATCCCTGGGGGAACGCCGCCCGGGGGGGCGCCTGGGCACTCCCAACAGGCACTCGGCCTCGGGTTTGGGCTCGGGCTCGGGTGGACGAGGGGGGAGGAGGAGGGAGGAGGGGGGGGGGGGGGAGGGAGGAGGAGGGAGGAGGGGGAGGAGGAGGGGAGGGAGGAGAGGGAGGAGGAGGAGGAGGAGGAGGAGGAGGAGGAGGAGGAGGAGGAGGAGGAGGAGGAGCAGGAGGAAGAGGAGGGGCAGGAGGAGGATTCTGCTATGAGGATTCTGTTATCCTGATCAGCCCAACAATTAGCGCGAGTGTAGGGCCGACGCGCAGACGCGGCTGAGAACTCAACCACTGCGTGTCGCCCCCCCCCCCGCGGCGGCGGCGTTGGCGCCCGCGCTCCGACGCGGTACACCGGCCGCCGCCGCAGGGGCCACCGGCCCCAGTCCCTGTCCCCAGCGGCGAGCGGAGGATGGGGCCTGGGGGCCCCGAGCTGGGGGGGAACCCGGCAAGGGGGGGGAGCCAAGGTCGCCAGCCCCCGATCGCCCTTTCCCTGGGGGGGGACTCACCCCAAGCCCCAAAATGGAGCCCCACCTCCGCCGGTCGTTGGGTCGGTCGCCCGCCAGTTCTCGGGTTGGTCGCCTAGGACCTTCGTCCTTGCTATCCCGACCTCCAGCCGGCAGTCGACCACTTTGGGCTCCCCGACCGTACCGTCCTGGTGTGCTCACCGGGCTCCCCGCTTGTGCGGGGGGGGGGCAGGAGGAGGAGGAGGAGGAGGAGGAGGAGGAGGAAGAGGAGGAGGAGAAGGAGGAGGACGATGAAGGGTAGGCTGGTAGGCTGGTACGTGGCTGGTGTGGCACGGGGCCGCGCCCTCCCCCTGCTCCCCGAGGTGCGCCAGCGCCTCCCCCGCCCGCGCCGCCGCCGCCCCCGGCGCCCGTGGTGCTGCTGGTGGGGAGCTCGCCCGCGCCCGCCGCCCTGGCGGCCCCCCCGCCGGCGCCGCCTGCCGCGGAGGGGACGCTGTCGCTGATGGTGGCGCAGGATCGGCATCCTCCGTCTCCTCCTCCTCGCCCGCTTTTTCCTCCTCGTCCTCCTCCTCCTCCTCCTCCTCCTCCTCCTCCTCCTCCCTCCTCCTCCTCATCCTCATCATCATCATCATCATCATCATCATCATCATCATCATCATCATCATCCCCCTCCTCCTCCACCTCTCCTCATCCGCCTCCTCCTCCTCCTCCTCCTCCCTCCTCCTTTCCTCTTCCCTACAAATATCTTCTCCCTGTCGCGCCCCGAGGCCAGTTTTTAGGGTGGGCCGGGCGTTTCGCTTTAGACTTCCTCGCCATTGATGATGCTGACGCTCCAACATTGGTAACAGTTTCACACATGGAGGGCACCTCGTTTTCAAAGTGTGGCTCTCGCCTGGGCGCCGCGCACATTTGTTTCAAACATTGTGCAAGAGGTTCACGAATTGAGGGCGAATGACTTTCAACATGTGGCTCTCGCCTAAGCGCCGCGCACATTCGTTTAAAAACTGCAAGAGCTTCACGGATTGAGGGCGGTTCCTTTGCAATGTGTAGTTCTCGTTTTAGCACCGCGCGCGTTAGTTTTGCTAGTTGCTTGCAACATTTAATAGCTTCACGAATGGAGGGCGGGTGGTATTCACAATGTGGCTCTCGCTTAGGCGCCGCGCACATTCGTTTTTAGGTTTTGCGAGAATTTAGCGGGTTCCCATGATCAACGTACCAGAAACTGTTGCTGGGAAAGATTCAAGATGAAGAGGGTGCAACAGTTACATCGATTCGCGGTGTTGTACTTCCAGGAATGTCGTCCTGGCGCAATTCAGGACCACCAAGACAAACGGTTGTTTTCCGACGAGGCAGTTCCCTCAGCGAGAATAAACCGTTCTAGGGTTCTATGAAGAGGGAGCTTGGAGGGAGGGTGTATTGCAACATCGTTGGTGACTCTTGGGTTTACAGTGGTCTTCTTCCTCCTCCTCCTCCTCCTATTCCTCCTCCTCCTCCTCCTCCTTCCCCTCCTCCTCCTCCTCCTCCTCCTCCTCTTCCTCCTCCTCCTCCTCCTCCTCCTCCTCTTCCTCCCCCTTCGCATCCTCCTTCTCCTCCTCCTCCCCATTCTCCTCCTGCACGTCTTCCTCCTCCTCCTCCTCCTCCTCCTCCTCCTCTTCCCCTTCCGCAGCAGCATCTACCGCCTAAACGGAAGGAGGGAGGTAAGAGTTCGGATAGGGTGAGATGATCGGGTCGGGGAGGGATCGGATGCGAAGATGGGAGAGAGGAGGGGATGTGGAGAAGAGGTGGAGGTGGGAGGCGGTAGGGACAGGGGCTTTCTCCCTTTATTCTCACTCCTGCCTGCCCCCAGCCCTAGGCGCAGGACAAGGCTACGTGTGCGTCTGCACCCCATAGGGCCACGCGCCTGCGCGCTGAGTTATCGTACGGGTTATCTGCTCGGTGGCGGGCGCCTGCTGGCCCTGCCGCCTGGGTATAACGATGCGCGATGAGATGCTCGTCTGCGCCTCCCAGGGGTGCGGATAGCATGAGGAGGAGGAGGAGGAGGAGGAGGAGGAGGAGGAGGAGGAAGAGGAGGAGGAGGAGGAGGAGGAAGAGGGGAAGGAGGAGGAGGAGGAGGAGGAGGAGGAGGAGGAAGAGGAGGAAGACCACGTTCGGTCCGGACGGTGCGCCCTCCTCCTGTTCGGTCCGGGCGTGCGCCTCCCAGGGGTGCGGATAGAGCACGAGTCTGCTCTTCTGCGCCGCGCAGGACGCGCAGCTGTCGGCGGACGACGCGGCGTCGCTGATGGCCTTCTTCGCCGGCCTCCGCGTGACCTCCGTCCGGGAGATCCAGGAGCCCCCGGGGCAGCGTGCGAGGTGCGATGAGGCGTTCGGGGATTTCGTCGGTTCTTGGCGGTCCTCCAGCCTCGGGGTGCCTTCAGCGGCTGCGCCTCGCCGAGAGCACTCCAGGGGTGCCGGGATCGCCCCGGACGGCCGCCGAAGACCCGAGCTGTGACCCGAATCCGAAGGGTGGGGAACGGCCCACGGGAGGGACGTGCCGCCGCCCGCCACCGTCCAGGGGCGCGCGCGGGCTCGCCGCCGTGGGCCTGTCGCCGATCTCTCGGCGATGCGCCTGCCGAGCCAGTAGCCCCCCTGCCCGACGTGCCCCGCCAGGAGCTGGGGAGGGTCACCAACCTCCAGGAGCTGGTCGGGAAGCAGCTCTACCGGCACGAGCAGACCGCGCCCCTGTCCATGCCGGCCAAGACCGCGCTGGGCAGGATCCTCCTCAAGGCGACGGGCGCCGGCTAGCGGCTAGGGCGCGCCCGCGCCGCGCGGGGCGTGCTGCCGCTCGGCCTCCGGGCATGCGCCGCGCCGGACGCGCTCGCCGGGCCCGTGCGAGCGGCGGCCGCGGGCCGTCGGCAGTGCCCGCGCGGCCGTGGCGGAGCTCCAAAAGTGCTCCCTCCGCCCTGCCGCCTGCTGCCTCCCCTCGCCGCGGGGCCGACGGGAGGTGTCCCCGAGGGAGAGGCGGGTCTTAAGGAGGCGTTCTGGGCCCGGCTTCGGCCGCCGGGGGGCCAGCCGAGGGTCCCGGGTTCCGTCGCACAGCGCTCCAGGAGGACAGTGCCCTCTCGGCAGAAAGTCCCAGGCTTAAGTCGGGCCTGTCCCTCTCCATGAGGAGTATTCAAAAAGAGTAAAACGAAGTAGTACGGGGACGATGTTTTGAATATTGTATGACTCTTTTTTGATTTGTTTGTGTATGTTTTGTTGTTCGCCCAAGAACCGCCTGTAGGGAGACAGGCCCGACTTAATCCTAGGCAGCATAGTTACAGAGCAGAGAAACAGAGAGAGAGAGAGAAAAACAAAAAAAGGATGCTGCTGTACTGTCCACGCGGAAGACCATTCGAGAGACCAGAGGGGAGATCATTTGGGGTATCATCAGGGGGACCATGAGGAAGACCAGAAAGGGGACAGCACCAGGAAAAGCAATGGGAGACCAACAAGCCACCGATTCCAGGGCCGAGCACGAGCCCCCCCACCTGGCCCTCGAGCCATACACGTATACGTAGCAGCCCGCAGATGCGGATAAGAAGGAGGGGTCGGGGAGGACGTCGGCAGTCTGCGAAGCTCTGAAGAAGCCTGCCGCAGGCACCCAAATTCTTTAAACTGCGCAGCGAGCCCGTCACAGGCGCCTTCTTTCGTGAAAGCAATGCGGGTGCGTCGCAGGGTGGGTCGTGGGTGGGTCGCGAGTGGGTCGCGGGCCGGGTCGCGGGTGGGTCGCGGGTAGGTCGCGGGAGGGTCGCGGGGCGGCGGGTCGCGGGGTGGGTCGCAGGGTGGTTCGCGGGGTGGGTCGCGGATTGGCGCGGGATGTGTCGCGGGTGGGTCGCGGGGTGGGTCGCGGATTGGGTCGCGGGGTGGGTCGCGGGTGGGTCACGGGGTGGGTCGCGGATGGGTCGCGGGTGGGTCGCGGATGGGTCGCGGGTGGTTCGCGGGTGGGTCGTGGGCCGGGTCGCGGGGGGGACGACGCCAAACAACATAAACAACAATAGCAGCAGCAACAACAACAATCATTTGACGCGAATGCTCGATGCTTCTATATGCAGTATGCGTCAATCATGATCGCTCCCCTTATGGTGGATGTCTTGCACGCGGGGGTCCGATATTCCCTTTGCGGGATGTCCGGGCATGGGAGGTTTTGACAACACCTCAGAGGGTTTTCAACATCTCCAGTCTGGATGGCACATCGCCTCCGCAATCCCCCTACCCAGGCCTTGCTTCTAGGGTCACGACACCTGAGTGGCCTAAGACCTCTTGGGAAACGCCCCACAACCTCTGGGAGAGCCCCGCGGCGAGCCCCCAGAGCCTCTTGAGAGAAGCTTCAGAGATCAGGCCCTTCGGCTTTCGACCCCTCCCCGGGGACCGCTTTTGCGTCTGCCGCTTTCTCATGGCGCCGGGGCCCGTCGTCGTCGTCCTCCTCCTCCTCCTCCTCCTCCTCCTCCTCCTTTTCTCTCTCCTCCTCCCTGTGCTCTTCCTTCAAAAAATGCCCCTGGCCATGGGTGTCTCCAGGAGTCCTAGGAGGCCCCCGACGGCTTCCAGAGCACGACGACGACAACGAAGACGACGACGACGGCGGCGGCGGCGGCGGCGACAACGCCGCGCTCCAAGACACGCGCGAGAGCGAGGTCGCGCGGAGCAGGCGCGAGATCGCATTCAGGGCGTCCAACAATATTAATTGCTGACTAATTGGGGTTCAACAGGGACTTCGGGAAGCCTCAGGGCCTCGTGGGAGTCTTGAGTAGGATCGGAGGAACTATCGAGCGGGAGCGTCGTTGTTTGTAGTGGGTCTTGAAAAGGGAGCGCCGGCCATGAGATAAATGGCAAGGAGTCATTGAGCGGGAACGTCGATTCTGTTGGAAAGGCTGCCACGGGGGGCAAGCGAGAGCCCGTGCCCCGACTGAGAAATGAGGAAGCATCGAGCCGGAGCGTTGCTGTCGTTGGGGGGCCTGTTCTGGCACATTCCCGAAACGTTTGACGTGAGCGTAGTTTCCCAAAAAGGAAATGCAGCCGTCGCCTGGGCGAGAGCGCGAAAGCCAATTCAGGGTGTCCAACAATGGCGATCGTTTACTAATGAAGGTTCCGCGACAACACCAACAATGTTAATAACAACGGAAACACGGAGATTCTGGCCCCGGGACGGGGCCGGAGTCGCAACGGTCACCCCGGTGGTGGAGCAACGGACACCCCGGCCCGTTGGGTCTGTGTTGGCGTTCGTTGTGTGACGGAGACCCATCTGGCCTTACCGCGGGCCCCTTGCGGCGGCGACGCGCCCTGTGGACAAACGTACACTCAGGCCCCGTGTCTCACTTCATCTGGCTGGCACGTGGCCACCGCAGAAACCGCTCCCATTGTGCTACCGTCCTCTTCGACCCCGTGCGCGCGCTCTTCGGGACACCTCAGGGATCCCGAGGAATTCCCCAGAATCCTCTGGGATCCTCAGGGGTCGTCAGGGATCTTCAGGAGTGCCTCGAGATTCTCAGACGGAAGAACGGAGACTCCAGCCCCAGGACGGGGCCTGACTCTCAACGCTCACCCCGGTGGTGGAGCAACGGACACCCTGGCCCCGTGGGTCTGTGTTGGCGCTCGTTGTGTGACGGAGACTCATCTGGCCTTGCGGCGGGCCCCTTGCGGCGGCGACGCGCCCTGTGGACAAGCGTAGATTTGGCATGTGGCCACCGCAGAAACCGCTCCCATTGTGCCACCGCCTTTTCCGACCCTGTGTTTGCGCTCTTCGGGACACCCCAGGGATCCCGAGCAATTTCTTGGAATCCTTTGGGATCCTCAGGAGTTCTCAGGGATCGTCAGGAGTTCCCAGATATCCTCAGGAGTCCTCAGGGATCCTCAGGAATCTTAAGGACTCCGATGGAATCCTTACGAATCCCCTGGGCTCTTCAGGAGTCCTAAGAAGTCCTTTGACATCCTCTGGGCTCCTGAGGAGTCCTGAGGAATCCTCAGGAATCCGCTGGGGCCCCAGGAATCCTGAGGAATTCACAGGGGTCCTCGGGGTTTGTCCTGAAGAATCTGTCGGTCTCCTCATGAGTCCCAAGGAATCCTTAGGAATCCTCTGGGGTTTTCAGGAGTCCCCAGGACTCTCGAGGAATCCGGAGGACTCCGTAGGAGTTCTACAGAATCTTCAGGAATATTGAGGGATCTTCACAGACCTCCAGGAGTTCCAAGGAATCCTTCGGAATCCTCAGGGTTCCTCAGGATTCCCGGGGAAGCTTTACGATTCCCAAGGAATCCTTCAGGGATCTTGAGGACCCCCCCAGGAATCCCCCCTCATTCAGGAATCCTTGCTGGGAATCCTCAGGAAGCCTTCAGGAATCCTTCAAGGACCCATCAGGAATCCTCAGGAAGGAATCCTCGTCAACATGTCTTTGGGACCGCTCAGGAATCCTCAGGGATCCATCAGAACCCCCTGAGGGATCCTCAGGAATCCCTTCGGGATCCATAAGGAAATCCGCAGGAATGTTTTTTAGGACTCTAAAGGGATCTCAGATGAATCTTCAAGAATAAATCGGGCAACCCTCAGGACCCCAAGGATTCCCATAGGATCCCCAAGGGATTCCACACGATTCCCTGCGGATTTTATTGAATCCCGGAAGAATTCCATCGGAATTCCATCGGATTCCCCCGAATGAATCCCATAGGATCCCCCAGGACTTCCATCGGATTCCTCCCGAATTCGATCGGAATCTTAGGGGATTGCGTAGGAGTCTTGGGAATCCCATTGGATTCCCCCAATAGGATGCCATCGGATTACTATGGAATTCCATAATGTTCTTGAGGAGCCTCAGGAAGCAAACGGCGAGTGCCAACACCTTCTCCGGCCCCGTGGGGCGAACCCGCGGTTGCTGGAGCTCGGCGTACCCTTAAAGTTATGGATTGGGCTTTGAAAAATAGGAGAAATCTGCAACACGCAGGGGCCGGTGTCTTCGTTCTCCCGAACAACAACAACAACCACAACAACAACAGCATCACCACCAACAACAACAACAACCAGCGCCACCACAGCAACAACACGATCAGCAAAAGCAGCACTATCATCAACAACAGCAAGAATCCACATCGCGGAATTCCGTTTCAAACACGAGCCCAGGGTCAGGGACAGTGACAGTATAATCTACATATATATATATATATGTGTGTGTGCATATAAATATACACATACAGTCGGTATATTCACATGTCTTTATACACCCATGTATACACATACGTGTCAGCCAGCGTGGAGCCCAAAGAATAATGTATTTCAATGTGGATGTGTAAGCCCTGTGGTGTAAGCTATTTGGTGCAGCCTGCGTGGTGCAAGCTAGATGGTGTAAGAGATATGTGGTGCCAACAATGGGGTGCAAGCTTTCTGGTGCAAGCTATGTGGTGCAAGTTATGTGGGTCAGTATGCGTGGTGCAAGCTACGTGGTGCAACTCACTTTGACTGTCTTGAAGTTGTCCTCTCCACTGCTCGTGCAAACATCCCACCCTCCCACCCGCAACTTGGTCGCAAGACTTCTTCAGACCGTGAAGGTAGGTACCACATGGCACTTGGCAACGACACCGACGCCGACGACGACAGCAACAACGACGACGACGACGCCGCCGACACCGACTACAACGACACCGACGACGCCCCCGACGACTTCGACGACGACGACAACGACGACGACGACGACACCGACGACGACACCGACGACGACGCCGATGGCAACGCCGACGACGACAACGACGACGCCGACGACGACGACGCCGACGACGACGAA